GGAAGCACAGTGTGTTTACATGGTTATTAAGTGATCGTGTAAGTGTGGTTGCCTTCAGAAACCACAGTATATATGCTGATGTTGGAGAATTGTCATAACTGTAGACCAGGGTTCGATGAAAAAAAAAACAACTGGAAATGGAGGAGTCGACAACCACACATTGACTGCCTTTGATCTTGGTGTTTTACTGATGTGCTGCAGTCATTGCTCATCTGTTTTTGTTGAGATGCTTGATGGCATTCGGCTGGATTCATGTATACAATAATCGATCTGTTCTGTAAAGCGGAGAGAGTTCAACAAGTTTGTCGTGTCTGAGATATGGCTGTTTTTTTTCTTGCTGCAAGACTGCATACTCCATGCTAGCAGCTGAACAGGAAGTTATTGTTGAAAAAAATAAGCGAGAGAGAGAGCTCAAAAGCTACAGACTGAAGACCTTGAGTGGTGCAGGAGGAGAGATTGCGTTTTTGCAGAACTTTCAGAAGTTTTACTGAAACTGGTTAATTAATGAAACATGGATATTTTGCACTGTTGCTTTTGTTTTAGATATTTATTAAAGTGCCACCAAAACTGTTCAAATATATTCAACAATTATATGCAAGTGATCTTTATCATGGTCACACTTTATTTTGATGGTCCGTTTGTTGAAATTAATTTACATTGCATCTAATCATTGCATGCCTGATAGTAACAGTAGACTGTTGGGTTAAGGTTTAGGGTAAGGGTTTGTGTAAGTTGACATGTACTTGCAAAGTTTCTAATAGTCAGTGAAATGTCTATTGAAGGAGCAGTATCAACAGATATTAAGCAGACAGTCTACTAAACTCAAGTAGACCATCAAAATGATGAAAACATGAAATCCAATGTGTTCAATTGAATATAGTCAATTATTTGAACACCTCTTAGTGGTTTAAGTAAAAACAAAATCAGCATCAGATCATTGATCAGTCATTGAAAAATGTCTTAAGAGATGTTCTGATGATTTGTTTGGGTTTAGTTTAATATGTTGTGTTGTTTATTAAATTATTTGAAACAGTTTTCACTAAAATTTTCATTTAGTCATTTAGTAAATGCTTTTGTCCAAAGAGACTTACAGTTGAGGAGGAATTCAACGAGATATGGCAATACACACTTTTTTCTTGTAAATATAACAAGTAATTGAAAAAATAAAACTGCAAGAAACATTTACTTGAATATTAATAAAGATTATATTATTGTAAAATATTTTCTTATAATTTTTCCATTTATCCAACTTTAAAAAACAAATAATCAAACAAACAAGTACAAACAAACAACAAGTACAACTTTTTTTCAGTGTAAAAATATATAAATAAATTAAATTCAATGATTTTTGTATCATTCCTAAAACTGATTCCATTTAATATGAAAATTAAATAAAATAAATATTTTGGTAACATTGCAATTATTTATTGTTTACTTGATGATCTAAACATTTAAAATAAAACATTCTAAGTTGTTTCAACCCAAACTTAGGTAAAACATGATCAAACCCAAACTTAAAAACATTTTTAACAAAGCTTTACCAAAAAAAGGTAATATTTATCCAGATTTTACATAAATTGTGTTCAAACAATTCAGCATTTTTCGAGTTTACTAGGACAACATTAAAATTAGTTGGATCTGTTGACGTTAGTTAATGCATTGTGAGCTAACGCTTACAAGAACAATATAATCAACTAACATTAATAAAAGTTCATATATGCTCTAATAATTTTATTTTCAATCGTTAGTTGCGATTTAGTTGTAACTAATCAGTAAGTAATTCATAAAATAAAATTCATATAATATTTGGAACCAATATTTCTAGCTGTATTATTGAACCTAAGCCTGCAATTCAGTGTAGGACAAATGAAGGCCAGACAAATTATTAACGTACAGTACAACCTTTAATCTTTGATGACCAATATCAGTGACAAATTTTTTAAATAACTTTGTTCTTCTTTTGTTGAGAATTTTAATAATGCAAAGAACTTTTAGTCTCATGAAGAATCTTTCCTCAATCTTTAAAAAAATAAATAAAATTAGTTTGCAGAACATTTAAACAATCTAAAAACTCTTTGTGGAACCGTGAATGCCAATAATAAACATTTTTGAGAGAGTAACGCTGTGTGCAAGTGTAAAAAAAGGCTTTTCACCACCCTAAACAAATGCGTGGAAATTTTTTAAGCTTTTAAAAATCTAAGACATGTGAATCTACTGAAGCAGAAAACCAGCTTTATTTACACACAAAGCAAAGACTCGTGACTTCTCAGAGTACGAAAAACTTACTGATTCACATCTCCTATACAAGCAACCATGCCCAGAATATGTTTCACTACTCTATATATTTTAGTTAAATCAAATTAACCTTTCTAGTCCTCTCAATCAAACAGACTAAAACAATTAACTTTAAACATTTTCATGATTAACTTATTAAAATAAGGATGAAAACATTGGTCATGTACTCCTTTACAGTGTATATCGACTTTAACAAGGTTTCAGAAAACCCTAAATTCCTCCTTTTAGTCCTACTGTATAAAGCAGATGCGTTTTCTGCTTTTCTTTTTTTCTCTCTGGTGTTTTTCACCATCTAAAAATCTGTGGAATAGATCTCTGACAACATCTTCAGTTTCATATTCCTCCTACTTATTTTCTGTGAGGTCATATTTTTTCAGAAATATCTTGCAAGCTATTACTTGGTATCATCTGGTGCAATCTTGTTGCCTTGTTGCACTAAAGCAAGACAACGCTCACCTTTACCGATCTATGTTTAGAGCCGCTTTAAGTTTGTGAAACCTGGTGGCAAGGGTGAGGTTAGGGGCCAGTTTTAGAGTTGGACTTGAAAAGGGCCGAAGACCTCTGCTCTCGTCTCAGGCTGTGGGCCTTACGGTGCATTTCAAAGGCCTGACTCGGACTGCACCTCGACTTCTGAGGAAACGTGCATCAGTGCGCTCACAAGGTACCAGACCAGAGGAGAGAGAGAGAGAGAGAGGAAGAAAGTGCCTTCCTTCATTTCCTGCACTTCAAAGCCACCTCCACTGATGTGTATGGCCATCAGAGTCTCAGTGGTGCTCAACCAACTTTACCCCCAAATGTACCCCCCCCTCCCCACCTCATCCTCCGTACTTTTCCACTTCATGTCTTTGGGCTGAATTACTCGAGCTCTAACACTCACTGAGACCCCAGAAAATAATCCTCACACCAGAAATGATTAACCGTTTGCATAAAATAATTGAAGAGAGACTCAAGCTGATGCAACTTCTAGACAAGTGCACTAGATCAGCAGACAGGAAATATAACATTTCAGTAAATTAATCATCAGACTCATAGTATTAATCAAAACAAGCCATGCATTCTTCACAGTACAATTATGCTGATTGAGCATGATAGCTTGAATAATTTTTGCTCACACAAAATGTTATGGTGTGTTCGTTTATACTGTACTTGATCATGTATGCTCCATTGCATTTGTTTTGAATGTGTTCATTGTGAGAAGATTTAAAAGGATCATTTGCAAAAGACTTCATCACACCTTCCAGTAGGTTACAGGTTACAGTAGCGTACATTCACACACTTAACATACTCACACTTATACTGTACACGCAGATGCACCCATATCTGCAGTAAAGCTACTCGAACTACTAAGAATAAATAAACTTTTGTTTTAAATAAATGTAGCTTATGTTTTAGATTTTTGGGTTGTATGTGATGCATAAAAGTATGTGTAAAATAAAATAAATATAGCCAGTGAGTTATGTTTATTTTTTTAAGTGATATTGCAATCAGGATTTAATAGTTTGGTGCAGCATTAATATGTGAAGTTCAGTTGGCGGATGAGGGAATAATTTGTCGCCTCCTCATTTCAATGTTAGACTTGCATTAAAGACTATATATAAACAAATATGTATTATTTCACTGAATAAATTTCACATTTTATGTTAAAAATTAAGTTTTCAGAATGAGTGTTTTTTAATATTTTGTCAATAATTTTAAATGTCAACTTTTTTTCATTAGAAGTTTATTCATATGCAGTCATTACTTGTTTATTTAAAGAGTAATGTTTTTTCTAAAATTTGGATCGTCTCACAAGTGTGATCAGCTTATAGGTTAAATTAAATTTTCATTGTTTTATTTTTTTATTTTTATTTTTTTTACATATACAAGACCAATTCCGTGCTAAATTTTGTTACCAAACGGACTAACGATGGCCTGCTTTGGAACAATTATAAAGTTCTGTCGATTAATTAACGATTAAGCTCTGATCATGCAGCGACTTTTTGTATGCCTTGACAGCAGTTCTGCGATAGAAGTGTTGCACATCTGTAGATTATAATCATCAGGGGACATGTTTAAATATTAATGCTCCGTGACCTGTCAAACGTCCCCACAAGCACTTTCCTCCCTCTCTGGGGTCTCTAGGGACCGTAGTTTAATAATATTTTCACTTTTTCAGTTTTTATAATTTATTTTGTAAACATATGTTTACTAAAGCATGCCCGTGATGTTCTTTCAGTACTTTGTTTTCACTATTTTCAGCTTATTTTCACTACTAGCCTAACTACTATTTTCAGTAATTATCAACTTATCTAAAATATCAGTAGTTCGCGTAAAGTACTGTCAGAATAAATTAAAACAGGGTAATCTCACTTTTAACACATTTGTGTTAAAGTGAATGCATAGAGACAGAATTCGCCAAATTGCTAATATTTGTTTACTTTTGACAATAACTGAAACCAGGTCGCGGTCTGCAGAAAAAAGATCAGATCAAACGATCTCTCAGTTATTATGTTTCTAAATTTAAGACGCAAATGCCAAGCACTCGACTTTATGCCCACCTGCCCTGCTTGGCACAGAACTGGCATTTGAAAGTCAAAGAAATAAACAGACATTTGTATTCGCTGACCGGTTTCTCACTCTAACCGCGCAGAAACTTTGCCGTGAAAACAAAAAAACGTTCAGGTTCCCTGATATACGAGAGAGTGAGAATCTATAATGCTTCTTACCGTCCTTGTTTCGTTATAATCATCTCTGTTTGATACTTGTGAAACTTTGCCCACAGCGGGTAGTTGTTGAGGAGCACTTGTGTCTTCCCGGACACCTGTAGACCAGGTAAAGAGTACATGGGTGCTCGCGGGAACCCGTGCTGAAAAGACGCCGTGTAGCCGTCTGCGCTGCTCGGGTACACGTCTTTCCCGTTGGCCGAAGAATACGCATCGGCTCCGGCTGGAACGTAAGTATGTCCCGTCCCGCTCCGGCTGGTGAAGTGACAGCTGCCGAGCGGAGCCGGTGCGTAAAACCTCCCCGTCTGTGCTCCGGCACTTTGGTGGTGCTCAGCGTGAAACGGCAACGTCAGACTTTCCTGGCCGTTTGGAATCGAGTCCTGGTAGTAAAACCTCGTGTCTTGGATGCCCATTTTGAAGTCCGATAAGTCGCGGTGTCTGTGCAGGTGGCTGCTTAATTCTGCGTCTTTGGCGAAACTTTGCGCGTCTGTTCCATTCAACATATTGAGATAGAAATTCCTGCCTATGCCGCCCATCTGCAGCACCGGTTCGAGCTCACTAGAGGTGTCATAGGTTTACCGTCCGTTTGCCTAAACATTTAAAATAAGACTCCAGCACAAACTCTATCAACTGCAAGTTGTGCAGCCTGTCCGCGAAGCGCTCCGTGTATGCTGATCTACTTTAAAAATGCTTGGGAAATGTTCTATTTGAATCATGTTATTATGTTGAAGACATTGCCGCTATGTATTTGGAATAAGAATCGGACTTCAAACACATGATAAGACTCTATGATATATCCATATCTCGGATTGTAATTGGTCTGGAGGTGGGCTTTACGCAGACTGGGCGTGATAGTTGATGCGCGGAGACGGGCCTTCCCCTCTTTACATGGGGTTCGTTTTAACATATGGAAATTAACAGTCTATAGGCCTATATTTATAGGCAATGTCAATTTCAAATCAATGTAGTCTTGAACAGTACTGATAAAATTACCTAATATTATAGTTCACTTCAATTATTGGCTTAGGCAATCCAAGATGCAGGCGATGTTGTAAATAATATTCAGCTTCTTCTATAGAACCTCACTGTTTCGCTTTATGAGATCTTAAAGGTATTTAAGCCGTTTACTTGCATTTAATGAATAATTAAGAACCAATTTCAACTAATAAAGCGTTTTTAATGTTCTGCTGAGGAAAAATCTAATACACTGGACGACCCCCGGGTGAGTAAACACAGTCAGTTTTCAGATTTTGGGTGTACTATCACTTTAAGACAGAATTGGTAAATCATGTACCTAAGATGTGTTAATAGCTGTTGATGATGAATAATACGTGCAACATACTTCATAGATGAATACTAATGCGCGAGTCATTTTCTGTGCATTATAAAATGATAAAATTGATCATTTTTGGGGAATGTTTTGCATTACATTTGTGTGTACAAACCAAAATTCAGTTATATAATTTTATAATATATATAGGCCTAATATTGGATTAACTTTTCCAAATTCTTTACAAAACTAGTAAAGATGTAGAATATTTTAACTTCAACTTTTTTTATCATGTGAAAGAGGTTAAGCCTTAGAAGAAAGTTTTTCTTAAATAATTTCTTTATTGTATCAATGTATTTTATGTATTATAGGTTTATTTGGATTTGTATTGAATATATACATACAAACCATTTGAATAAATAAAGTATGCATTGTCTAAAAGTGTGAATTACAAGAAAAAAAAATCACTATACTCCACTCTACTTCACCAACATCCAGGCAGACACACACCCACACATACACATAAAGTGTCCCCCCCAGTGCAGGTATGACACAATTGCCTCTCCACATTGCCATTTCTCTAATTCCACTTCCTGTGTTTCTCCTAGCAAGGTGAACTCACAAGGTCAGCTGCTGAGCTCATTGGTGTTGACACCTTGGATGAGAGTGTATTGTCCCTAGTAACACGTTCACCAGACAGAGGAACACACTCCACCTGCCCTACGGGGGTGAGCGCCACCTTTAAGGCCTTAGTTAAGCTGATCATCCTCAGGCCACACTCACCACAACCGTTACACGCAGCCAACAACTCATCTACAGTATCAACAATTAAACAAATCACACAACACATTTCCCTGCGGTCTTTGCAGCATTTATGCTGTGGGTTTAGATTCCAATGGCAAGGCATTTTACATATAATCTATTGTACTAGTATCTTTTTTTAAAAAATATGTTAATATAATTTTTATATGAATCCTTTTAGTACCTTTTTTAAAAAATATTCTACTAACTACTAAAAATATACTACTAACATATACTACTAATTAGATGATATTTTTTATTATTAGTTACTGGTACTTTAGTTGCTATTACGTATGTACTAGTACTTAATTTTTAGATACTGTTACCTAATAAATAGACACTAGCACTTCTTTATTGTGTTATACTAAATAATTACATTTATTTGTTAGATTATAATACTTGTGTACACTTCTTACTATTAGTGACTATAGCTTTTTTATTGTTAGTAACAAGTTTCACATTTTAGTTATTGTCTATATGGTGATCTGTCATTGAGATGTCAACTATTCAGTTTTGACTGGTGTATTCCAGTTGTGAGTAGTACATACTTTTTACCTTCTAGTTTTTATTGTGATAGTGCATATTGCATACTAGTGCTTATTTACTACTTACTGATTACATACACCAGTACTAATTATTAGATACCAGTACCTTTTCAGTTGATATAGTTGCTATTAGGTATAGTTGCTATTTTAGAATGTATTCATTAGACACTGCTACCTTATCAATCTATCTATCTATCTATCTATCTATCTATCTATCTATCTATCTATCTATCTATCTATCTATCTATCTATCTATCTATCTATCTATCTATCTATCTATCTATCTATCTATCTATCTATCATCTATCTATCTATCTATCTATCTATCTATCTATCTATCTATCTATCTATCTATCTATCTATCTATCTATCTATCTATCTATCTATCTATCTATCTATCTATCTATCAACTGTCTGTCTGTCTGTCTGTCTGTCTATCTATCTATCTATCTATAGTTGAAGTCAGAATTATTAGCCCCTCTTTGAATTTTTTTTCTTCTTTATTTAATATTTCACAGCAAGGGCATTTACATGCCCTTTTACACAGTATGTCTGGTAATAGTTTTTCTTCTGGAGAAAGTCTTATTTGTTTTATTTCAGCTAGAATAAAAGCAGTTAGTAATTTTTTAAACACCATTTTAAGGACAAAATTAATAGCCTCTTTAAGCTTTAAGCTTTTTTTCGATAGACATACCACTGTTATACAATAACTTGCCCAATTACCCTAACCTGCCTAGTTAACCCAATTAATCTAGTTAAGCTTTTAAATGTCACTTTAAGCTTTAAACTTAAAACTTTTATGTTTAGAAATGTGTTGAAAAAATCAGCTTTACGTTAAACAGAAATAAACAGGGGGTCAAATAAATCAGGGGGGCTAATAATTCTGACTTCAACTGTCTATATATATATATATATATATATATATATATATATATATATATATATATATATATATATATATATATATATATATATATATATATATATATATATATTAATATATATTATATTTTTATTTATTCATTTATTTAATTTAACTGTGGCCATTCTGATTAGTCATAAGCATTAGAAAAAAAAAATTAAATAAGGATAATAAGTAAATAACTTGTTGCACTAGTAATAGTTAATACTCTGGTCAGCTGCACTCTATTTTACAATATAAGTGTCCTTAGCTAAGTGCTTATATTACATAACTACATTGGTGAAGTTAGGGGTGTGTTTATGGATCATTACTTGATATCACACAGTTTATGTAATGACTATAAAAATACATAAAATGAGTGCCACCCTATAGGGCCTAAAAAAAAAAAAAAAAAAAAATAGTAAGATACTATCTGACAAAAAGTACCAGTATCTAATGTTCTAATGTTATTTAGTATTAGTTAAATGATTAGTTAGTATTATTAGTTAGTTTTAGTTATATTATAATTAATATTTAATGAACAATACTAGAGTATAATAGTAAGTGCTAGTATTTAATGAATATACATTGAATGAGTTTTAGGACTTTTAGTATTTAACATTTTTATATAATTATTAATATTTTTTTATTAAATTACAGGATGCTAGTATTTTTTTTTGCAAAATACCACCACCACCACCACCACCACCACCAAAAAAAAAATAATAATAATAATAAATAAAAATAAAAATTAAAAAACCCTAGCCAGAATAAGAGTACCACTAGGTTAGGTGAATGCATTCTAATAATTACTGGAAATGATATGAGTATCTAAATATTTGATTGAGTTTAAATATAAATTAAAAAGTCTCCAATTAAGCATTAGTATTGTGAAAAGACCCACTAGTACATTTCTTAGAATAAATGTGGTTAGATGGCTTACTATACAATGCCACACTTACTCTAATAAGTAAAGTTGTCACAGGTCTATGGCAGTTTGCAGTATATGAGGCGAAATGTTAAAGTAGCATAGCAGTTTTTTAAACCTTCAGATTACACTGGAGAAACTTAAGCTATCATTTAAAGTACATTTTAATATTGGTTTAAGTAAACACATATGGTTTCTCATTATAACCTGTTTTATTTAATTTGCCTTATAGCAAAAAGTGAACCCCCTAGATGACTCAAAGTGATGTTTTTATTTTAAACCAGCAGTTTTCATGTCATTTGACCACATGAAGAAAAAGGTATTATTTATGTGCTTTTAGTTTTTATATATTTGTAATGTCAGATTTGTTGGTAATGTCTTGCTTGACATTTATAGCCATACTGAAAACAACAACATAAAGCAAGTTGCAGTAATTTTGAGAAATTGTTTTTTTTTTTTTTTTGTAATTATTCAAGGTTTTTTTTTCATTGGTGTCCCCCCTTTAACACAATTATGATTAACAAAAGCAAGCATTGATTGTTATATGTCATATTTATATCTGTGGTCAGAGGTGCTACGATATGAATGATACGATGTCCTGGGTTTTGGTTGTGATTGCTTTTGAAAGCAAGCCCCTGTAAATCATGTCTTTTCAGTTGCCGCTCAGAGTGTGATGCGAAAGATTGCTCGATTGCTTTATCACACTTCTCCTTCCTGCAGTTTTTGGATTTGTGCATTTTCATGTGGTGGTTTTAAGTAGTGTGTAACTCTGACTCATCCTGTGCTAATGCTTTTCTATACATCTGAGATTTTTCCATCAGTAAAGATAATCTGTTAAGCAAGACACACCAGGCTGTGTGCGGTTGTTTCTGTGTGCGCTCTCTCTTTCCACAACAGCGCATGACTCTTGTTTCAGTGTTACAGAGGGGTGAGGAGTGTACAAGGCCTAGTCGAAGGCCCCACGGAAATTTGAGCAATGCCTACCGCTCTGATGGAGCCAAACCATGCTTGAGCTCCATCAGTTATCATAAGCAGTGCCCAGGCTGTCAATGCAGAGCTTTTGAAATGTCAAGTCTCACTTCCTTTTCCTATTTACTTTATTTCGGATGGAGTCATAAAAAGAAATA